CATCGTTTTATTTTGTGAATTATTTTATCTTCTTTGTTCTAGAAAGTTGCTAAAACGAAATAGTTTCATAATTTATTCTGGTTATGAAGGATTGCATTCATTTCTCTCTGGACTCACAGTACAAAACTAAAATTTTGCGGCTATCACCTATTTCAGGGGGCACATTGTAGCGTAGTTGATAAGGGCACTATGCTACAAGCCAGAAGGTTGCGGATTTGAGTCCCAGTGAGTTGGATTTTTCAATTTACCTAATTCTTCTAGCCGCACTGTGGCCCTGGGATCGACTCAGCCTCTAACCGAAATGAGTACCAGTAATCTTCCTGGGGGTTAAAGGGCGGCCGGCGCGTAAGGCTAACAACCTTACCGCCATCTATGAGCCGATTGTCTAGAAAGCGTGGGAGCCTCGACATCTCGCAACCCCGCTATGGGCCTCCACGGCCTGTTACAGGGATAGCTTCACTTCTTTCTTCCTCTGTTTGAAACCACTTGCATTGCGTTCTGTAAAGCAATAGCTGGCTATTAACGATGATGAGGCCATCTTGTTTCTCCTTCGCCTTCGCTTTTATGGTGCTGAAATGACTGACAGCGGAAGATCCGGGAATATACAGAAAGTGAAGCACTTCATATGTGACTTCAGATTGTGGTTTTCTTGGTGGATACCCAAATTTCAAAGACACATGCTGCCTCTATCTTCAGAATGAAGTATGTGAGATGAAGGACCAGTTGGGTTACATAAGCAGATTACAAGGAAGATGGCCGCCTATACCCATGGGAGAAGATAGAAGAAATGGAGCAAAACGGCACATTTCAGGGCCACGTGAATGTAGGAAGGGAAGGAATTTTGAGAAAAGACATTCCTTATCAAGGCCACTCTAATGTCGCTATTTAAGCACAAGACTTCACGATGTCACAACCCAGAAATCACAATCTGAGCCATGGAATCCTCAAAATTGAGACCCATATTTTGTATACCTTATAAATTGATCTCTCATTCTGATCCCCCGAAAGAAAAGTAACAGATGGTGCACTCCTTTGACGGTTCATTTTGAGTATAAATAAAACAGATGCAGATTAACAACAGAATTTTATACTTTTGCTGAAGAGTTATGAAGAAATGAAGGGCACTTAGCCGATGAAAGTGGCCACACTGTCTAAGGCGTGAACTGTCTTCGCCAGCTCGAAAACTGGCATCGTGGGTTCGAATCCCGCTCAAGCATATGTATGCGTTTATTCTGTGTTTGTGTTGCCCTGTATAGGTGGCGTCCTTGCAACGGGCTACCGACTGTCTAGGCTTAAGAAACTGAAGTGAAGGAGAGTTTCACGGTTGTCCTATGCTCCAAGTGGGAGCAACAAGAGTAAAGAAGAAGAAGAAGAAGAAGAAGGGTACTTATGTGAAATTCAACAGGACGCGTTCTGTTTTTCGTTAAATTTATCAGAAAATTAGAAACTCAATGAAAGTTACATTGAAAACATCTCTGTGCATAATTATGCAGTACACCAAGAGGACGTATGCATTCTTACTCTGTGTGCTAGTGAGCCCCCACCCCACCAGCTGGGGAACGGGTGTTCTCTGCTGTTACTCAGGGAAAAAAAGAGAGAAATAAACAAGAAAATCAAATAACATTTAATATATGACCAATAATTTGTGAAAAGAAAAAAAAGAAAACACAACAATTAATCGGCATAACCAGCCACAAGGTATCCTATCACAACTCGCACAGGCTGTCTCCGCCACAAGCGACATATAAGGTATACTTAATGACAAACATCACGCTAGCATAATACCATCTCTGAAATCACATACACACAAAATACAGACAAAAGCTATATATACATTCTCAGCTTACACAATTTCTCCAAAAACAATAATCAGTACGCTAGCGTTACGTACATTACCTCGAGATGGGCTCTCCTGCCTGGAGTTTAGCTACCAAACCGAATCTTTCATGGCGCCGACCCAAACAGAATTTAGTTACGGAGCGAGACGTCCGTACACGATGACTTTCCAGGCAGAAGAGACCGCGTGCTTCAGCCGAATCACAAATGATAGGGGAGTGATGACGTAGAATGCGCCACGGACTAAGGATAGTAGTAGGAAAGGTAGGAAAAACGGTGTGACCCGTGGCCGCGGCCGCCGCTCGGAGAGGGCACCACAAGCAATGAGCCGAAGGGATCGGCTCACTAGAAGTAGATGAGTTTTCTGCTTCACGTCTCGGCCTCTTTACCCCCGCAAAAAATTCCCTTTTACCCATCGGATAGGAGGCTGAGTTGCTGGTCTGGGCGCTGTGGAGCAGAAAAAAATATCTAACCCCTGTCAGGAATCGAACCACGATTCCTTGGTCGTCCTTGAGGGTCCTGCTAACCAGGTTGCATCAAGTAATGAGAAGTCAACACGAGATTTAATCAACGATGTATGGCATATTTGTTTATTAGCAAAGAAAATATTGGTCAACAGAGCTTAATTATTAGGTTCAGATTAATGTAAACATAGCGTTCTGTGTATGTGACTTAACATGAAACAGCATGATCCTACATATTGATCTACCGTGACCTATTAAATCGTTGAACGCATAATGGACAAAACGCTTGGAGCGGGCGAGAAAACGCAGTAAATTCTATGAATGTATTGATCAACTGTGAAGCAGAAGAAATTTCTCATGGTTACAGGATATTCTAGTAGAAATTAGGAACCTAGCAGGTATCATAAAACACTGGACGGCTGTCAAATCTGCCTGTACGACTTTCTCGACGCGTTCAAGAACTGAAATTACGATAGATCTGCTTCATTTGATATTGAGAGCGTCTGATAACTTCCGTTTTCATGTCTCTAGAAACTGACCTTAATTCTGTGTATAAGGATCGCTTGTAAAATTTAAAAAAAGGTGTTGATATGAAAACAGGCAAAGAACTTGAGAAGAAAAATGGTCCTAATCTGTGAAGACGGCACTCGTCACCTGCCTCGCGCAGTCGGTAGTAACAGCCTCCCACGAGTCAGACGGAAATGACGAATCCGCAGACACGTCACGGCGTCCCTGAATGCAGTATCTCGATGCGTGATAATGAGCCAAGCGGTTAGGTGTCAGCACTTGAAAGGAAGCTCAGAGTTTATCTACGGAGCCTGATGTAAATTCCATGTACCTTTGTGACATAAAATGGTACAGGGCAAACGTAATAAGGGCATCTCTGTGTGGGTATCCATTTCAGAACGTCTGACACCATATCCCGGAACCCAAACTCCATTCATCGCTATTCATTCCTGCTTGCCGCATCTGCTCCTTCAGGCCAACTTCTTGGTCTTAAGTTGGATTTCGAGTTCCACTTTAATAGCAGCGTACCTCAGCGGTAATATATCTGATTGGAGTTTAGAGCAATAGAAAACAGTTGTCACCGACAGTCTAGAATGAGGTTTTGTGAATTTTCTAAGTATCTCCAGCAATTACAAGGATTGTGGGTCTCACAATGGTGTTTATGGACTTTAACTTCCAGGATATAACGCCGTATAGTCCGATGAAAGACAACCGAAAATTTCTCCCTGCTTAATGCTGGCTTCTCGCTTAGAGTACTCATCAACCATGAAGGTGGAGGCTATATTTCTGTCCGAAACGTCGGTGGAATTTTAAAGAAATATATAGCGATATATCTCAAAAGGTGGAGCTTTTCGTTACAGACCTTGACTTAAATATGCTAATACCAATTTCTCGGACTCACCAATCACATCGTTCAGTGTCGTACATTATACTATTATATATCTGATAACGACATTGCCAAACAGTCTGCAGAGAACAAAAACGAAAGCGGTACAAATGAGTGCTTATGAAAATCAAAATATTTCGATTCCCGGAAAGCCAGTGATCTACACACTCGCGTTGCGGAGTCTGTTTGGCTTAGTTTCTTTAACTGTTACTTTTGAGAACATTTAATCGTCAAATGTACATATACTTGACGCAAAATACAGTCCATCCGAGCTCGAATTGCGTCACAGAAAGAGGGGAAATGATCACGTAGGAATGGGGAATACAAGGAGAATTTGGCTCCTTCCGTATGTGTTATCTCTTGGCTTTCTGTTCCTTCCTCCTAGCACCTCGGTTGTGTGGCCAATCGACATTTATATTTTTAACAGTCTGTACAAAATATAAATATATAAAAGTATGCAGTCTACACAACAATATTCTGTATAGGGTCTATATTGTTTATATATATATATATTTGTTAGAATTCAGAATTAAATACATTCTTTAAGCTAATTTGCTAATTTAAACACCGTCCTCGTGTGCTTATTGTGTCGTGAGGAGGGCTCCTCCAATGAGAGATCCTCTGCAACCATCAAGTAGATCTGCTGGCCATAATTTCTTTAGCCTTCTTCGTTGTTGTTGTTCCAGTAGGGGCTGCAGTAATGTATTGCTATGGTGTCCTAGTTTATCGTGATGTGTTATGCTTTTTTCTTGGATGACTTCTTTGATGAATGGTACATTGAGATCGTCATGTAGGGTCTGATTAGTCACATACCAAGGTGCATTTGTGAGCATCCGCAGTATTTTGGACTGCCTTCGTTGCATTATGGCTATGTTCGATTTACTGGCGCATCCCCATAGGTCGATTCAATATGTCCAAATAGGCTTTATGATTGTCTTGTAAAGAAGTACTTTACTGTCTAGCGATGTGCTAGATTTACTTCCAATGATCCAATTTATGTCTTTTACTGTATTGTTTTAAAATACAGAATATTGGTGTGTAGACTTTACTTTAAATATATTTATACACTTTATTTATAATAATAATAATGTCTACTTTGTTTTAAAATACAGAATATTGCTGTGTAGACTGCATAATTCTATATACATTGATATATCTTATTTATAACACACAACACTATTAAGACTGTACAAAACACGTATTCTCAACCACCTCAGTTTGGATTTGCAGTTCTGGAAGCTTCAGATTAATAACAGATGAATGAACTTGGGTCAGCTGTTGGTTGATATTGTTATTGAACTGTTCAGGTTCGAGTCGGGGAACAAGGAAAGGGTACAACAAGCTGGCGGGGGAGGAGTCCGAAGTGAATAACGTCAATTGCACTGCGCCACAGTGCGTCGTGCAGGAGTCATCAGGACCTGGACATGGTCCTGGCCCCGGTGGTCCTGACTCATCAGACACGGACTCCAACTGCACCGACCTCGAACTGGAGGAAGAGCTGTCAGACGACTCGGATTACGGTGAGTAGAGAAAAGTTTTCTGGCTGACTACTCCAGCCACTGGCGCGCCTACTCGTTCTCTTTGTTCGCGTCGTTTGTTACGCAATCAGCATGCAAGTGGAAACGAATTCGTAGCAGTTGTCTATTTTTAATTTTGTAAATGTTTCAATGTGTAAGTGGTTAAATGCTTTATTATGAAAGTAAATACTTCAGTCTAGAAAACCGAGATTAACGGCCGTGGGGATCCGTTGCGCTGACCACGCAACACCCTCTATCCGCAAAAGTTGGCACTAACTTCGCCACAAGCGTCAGTCGCTCGGTCGGTATAGTTCGCTTGCGGACTGAAACCAAGGAGGAAGGGAAAAATAGCTAAGTAATTCGTCAATGCAACCAAGTGCATAAATATAATATTATGCTTATCAGATATTGTTTACTGTCATAGAATATTTCTCTTGAAATGCACGTGCACTTAAAGATGGGTTGAAGACGCTATTTATATTCCATAGAATGGAACATAGTTCGTATTTTCTGCAGCATATTTCTGGTTAAGCCCAAGCAACTACACCAATTTCAGACAACATGTCTACTGCGTTAAACTAATGTATAATTTAATAAGTAACGTAATTAACATCAATTCAAGGAGGATGAGGTGGGCATGGCATGTAACGCGAATGGGGGAGACGAGGAATGCATATAGGATATTGGTGGGAAAGAGACCACTGGGCAGACCAAGGTGTAGGTGGATGGACAATATTAAAATGGATCTTAGAGAGATAAAATGTAATGGTTTGGATTGGATTGATCTGGCTCAGAATAAGGACCGATGGATGGCTATCGTGAACACGGTAATGAACCTTCGGGTTCCATAAGATTCTGGGAAGTTTTTGAGTAGCTGTACAATTGACGGCTTCTCAAGAAGGGCTCAGCTCCATTGGTAAGTAAGTAATTAACATAAATTGCATTATTAGCACAGTTTCCTTATTTTTGAAAGAATGGAAGTAAGCTTATACGATCTCCATGCTGTCTGTGTTTTTGATAATCCACCCTATCAAGTTGTGAATGCCTGATCCAGTTGGTATGTATATCATGGTGCCTGAGCCCATCTCAACGGCATGCTCATAAATCCTACCCATCACTCTCTGTATCATAATGTCTATCCGTCCAGTCATTACTAGCCAGAAGGGGGTAAAGTTTATCCTCCTTTCGTTCCTAGGTAACAATTCGGTAAAGAAGTTCCAGCGACAACGAAGAAATTTTGGAGGCGTCGTTTTCTGTTTGGTTCGTGTCCTATGAAAGGAAAGTAGGCGATTAGTCTTTCCCACAATTTCTTAATTCTATTATTAAATTTAGGATGTGTTTTGATCTTAGCGTATGCTGTGTTTTAATATTTTGTAATGTCACACCCTGTACACGTCACATACGGTTTGTTTCACTAATATGGACAGCTCCGTGTTATGTTTCGGTATTTTTCGACCACCATCAGGCAGGAAGCATTACGTATAACATAATTACAGTAACTGTACGTTTATTACATATTTATAACATTAATAATTATTTATGGAATAAACATTCGTTTCCATGTTCGAATCCAGCTTGTAAACTTCTTCGAAAGTGGAGTGGTGAAATATAATATTGTTAAAATATATTAAATTGTGGACTTAATTACATTTTTGTCCTAATGATAATTGTCACTGCAGATTCACTGTGATTTTTTGATCTTCTTTCCATTGCTTAAAATTGTTAACTCCGTAACGTTTACCTCTCTTATGTTCACTTTATAATTTATTTATTTATTTATTTAACACGGTGTTTTCGAGCTGTTGCATATTTATCTTAGGACAATTTTGTGCCATATTTCATTATGTAGATTGCCTCATCTTACTTTTAACGTACTATGTAATCTTCCATCACTCAGATGCTGCCTGCTAATAACGTTAAGAGAAATTTTCATTTGCTTTGGTTCACGAATCTGCTCTTTGATGGGCCTCGTTGGTAGTTTGCATAAATTCCAGTCGCACATTGCGATCTTTCCAACGACTAAAGTTGCTAACCGCGTTACAAGAAACGTAATGAGAATTAGAAAGAGACGCGCTTGAAGAGCGCTTTAGTTATTGCACAACTTTGGAGTGAGAAGCCAGAAACAGTCAAACGGGAACATTTTAAATCTAGAACCACTTTGATGTTCCAGATTATAGTACCCGTTATATTAATCGTAACGAATTTTGGTTTCCGATGAGTTACCAAAATACTGACGCATTGATGGGAAGACAATATTAGAATGAATTTTGAGAAGTGCAGATTCGTTTTGGAATGGCATAGCCCACAACATATGTAATGCGTGGTTACGTACCTTAGAACACGTAACGAATGAGAATGCTTTATCTTCTGAACATTTAATGTCGGATATTTTCAGAAAGCTTCTTTTCCATGGGATTAGTTAGTTAGTTATTTAGAGAGGGTGGGCTTCCCCATGCACCGCTACCAGTTTCATCTATTGTGCTTCCCTCTATGATATTCTACCAGTCTTCTTACCCTACCGATAAATGGTGCGTACCATCAGTCCCGCCGAGCAAGCGAGTTCGGCCACTTGCTTAGCGGTGTCTATAATGCTTCCCCCTTCTATCAGAGGCCTTAGAGGCTATTGTTGGGCGGGAAACGTCCTGGAATTGGGGATTTGAAGTTCTTTTACGTGCCGTAAAGTTACGACACGGGACACACAGCTTAAAGTCCCTCCCGGAAGACTTGTNTTAGAATGAATTTTGAGAAGTGCAGATTAGTTTTGGAATGGCATAGCCCACAACGTATATAATGCGTGGCTACGTACCTTAGAACACGTAACGAATGAGGATGCTTTATCTTCTGAACATTTAATGTCGGATATTTTCAGAAAGCTTTTTTCCATGGGATTAGTTTGTTATTTCATTACTTAATTGCATTTTACTTTGAAAGATGATTTTAGTTATTTTGTAAGTTTGTTAAATTTTGTATGTGTTTTTGTTACGTTGTTTCTCTTTTGTTTATTTACCGTTACTGTCATCCAGGCTATATAGCGTCGATATTGAAATTATTAACGAATGTGGAGCAATTGGTGGAATAACAACTGGCAGAGGAAACTGAACTCTATTTATCTATTTAACCATGGCTCTACATTCCTTTGTTGGATTTTGGCCGCTTTCTCAATTTCTTAATCCTGTACACGGTTGGACTCTTTGACGGGGGATCAGCCTGTAGCAAGGCCTCTACCTACCCACAGAACAACACAAACAAAATAAATACACACAGATTTCCAAGCCTTGGGTGGAATTCGAACCCACGATTCCAGCGTTCAAGCGAGCGAAGATTATTCATGCCTTAGAACGCACGGCCACTGTGACCGGCACAGGGGAGAGGGGTAAGTTCGCCTCTCTGCTTAACTAATTAAGCTAATTAAACTAATTACGTTTGTGTTGTCCTGTGTTAGGTAGCCACCTTGAGACGGGCTCATCACTCGGCCAAGGATTCCTACCATCTGTATGAGAAAATTTTACGAAACTGAAGAAGAGGCAACGGCTCAACAAAGGGATGTAAAGCCATTGATGAATGAATGAATGAATGAATGAACTTGGAAAATATTAGGAGAATACACCTTCAGGAACTTAAATGCTTTCCTTCGGAATATTAAAATCCGTCAACAAAACTGCGAAGAACGTAATCATAGTTAAGAGGCTAGTATATACGTTGTAGGTAAGGTTTTGAACATGTATTCGGAAGTTCTTTTTTCGAATTTCAGCAGGGACATCGTCTATCCTGACCGAGGTCTCTATGTATTCCTCAGTCCCTCCAGGCGAATGTTGGGATAGTATCTGGATTAGGCCACGATCGCTTTCTTCCAAATCCGTTATAATCCGTCATTCATCACCCATCTCATCATCCTACTCTATATAGATCTGACTTGGGTGTTTTAGCGCCTTCTAAGTGCAACGTCATTCACTGTTTCTTTATTGGACACTATTTCACTACATGTCTCGGCGTAACTGGTCATTTTCAGTTATACAGTTTGTTGTGCTTAAGGATTCTGATCTTGCACTTAGACGGTGCAAGAACTGCTAAGTCAGACCTATACAGTGCAACAGGATGCTGAAATATAGCACTATGCCATATAGCCTTGATCCTGAAAGCGTCGTCGAAGTTGAATCAAGTCCTTAAAAATTCTTAGATTTGTTACACGGTGGTAAATTGATTTATAAGCGAGACAGAGAAGACTAATACTGGTGTGGGTCTAATCTTGTATTATTTATACAGTTTTAGTTACATACGATTTTGTAGATTATATTAACAGTCCATTAAAAACCGCTGATATAATAATTTATATAATCCTTTCTGTACCTGTGCGTGGTAACATTTGTGAAATTGTAAACCAGTCATTTCGCGTAAATATGAATCACTGCGCTACGATATGGCAGAACATGGAACAAAAATAAAATCACACAACCCTGAAATTACCGTCCAGTTCTGTGACCCGTTCTATTGGAACTAGCTCGGTTTCATGGTAAGACAAACAAACAAACATACGACTGACATGCCCTGCTGCTCTGAAACACGCACTGCGTATGTAGTGTAGACCCAAAGAGTGATTACATTCGAAATGATGTATGAGGCTCGCTATGTTTGCAAGTTCTGTGCTTGTCTATAAACATGTTTATTGTTCTTATGCACATAAAGGCCGCGTCATAGCTCAGGGGGTTTAGTAGCTGGCTTCCCACCGCGGTGGCCCGGGTTCGATCCCTGGTCTGGTCAAGTGGGATTTATGGTGGACATAGTGGCGCTGGGGCAGGTTTTCTCCGAGTACTTCGGTTTCCCCTGCCAATTTTCATTCCACCAATTGCTCCACAATTACCTTCACCTATCATCTGGGGCTGGTACAATAGGCCAGAAGTGGCCGCAGTGTAAGGGACTTAGTCCTACCCCACTAGCAATAAAAAAAGTTCTTGCCTTCAAAATTCGTTTCGGATGAATGGGCCGAAATTTGTATTCCGCTCTTG